TTGAATCTACCAGTTGCTCTGCGGAAGAGAGATGAGGCAGTCTGCTTCCATAAAGATTTTACAGCCTTGGAAGTCAGAATCCACTGGATGGCAGTAAGTTTGGTTTGGTTTTTGGTTTGTAGTCCCAGTTACCATTTTAACAAAATGTAATACTACAGAAAAATCGCAACACTAACTTTATTTTAGATCACCTCCAAAAGGAGAGAGATTGATTCTTTGCGAAAATTTTATTCTCCTTTTCCCCAAGGTTCTCACCTAGTTCTCCAGGTTTATCCTTTACTACAGTGTAGGTAAGGAGCCCTGGCTCAGCTTGGCAGGTAACTCAAAGGTCAGCAGTATGAACCCACCAATGGCCCCATGGGAGAAAAGACCTGGTGAGCTGCTCCCATAAAGATGATAGCCTATTATGTCCTACAGGGTCCCTGTGAGTCTGAATCGACCAGATGGCCCAGTCTTCCTTCCATGGAGTAGCTGGTGGGTTTGAACCACCAACTTTCTGGTTAGCAGTCAAAATGCCTCAGGCACTGTGCCACCAGAGCTCCTTACCTAAGAGATTATTAAAGACAAAATTTACTCCTCTTCCTCCAGGTGGTCACATGGCTGGCCTCCTTCTGACTCTCAGGTCTGTGCTCAAATGTCATCCAACAAAGGAGGACCTCTGATCACATAAGTTAAAGGAGGGTCATCGCCCATCACACCCCTCCCCTATCATCTGGTCATTACCTGCATCATTTTCTTTCCAACACTTACCACTATCTGGTATTATATCATTTACTTGTTAGGCTCTTTTCCCTCACTAAAATGTAAGTGTCATGAAAGTAGGCATTTCACCTGTCTTGTCCATTACTCTATCCCTATCACTTACTAGAGTGGCTAGAATACAATAAGTAAAAAACAAACTAGTTGCTGTCAACTCGATTCCAACTCACAGAGACCCCCACGTGTGTCAGAGTAGAACCGCCCCATGGGGTTTTCGATGGCTGATCTCTCAGATCACCAGGCCTTTCTTCTGAGGTTCATCTGGGTGGACTCAAACACAATAGGGATTCCACAGATATTTGTGGAAGGGAGGCACTCCCATCAGTGAAGTACCTAGGAAGGGTATTTCAATGAGGGTATTCCCACCCAACTTAAAACAGCTTGACTTCAGAAAATCCTCTGGTCTCATTCAAATAAATGTGTCAGTATAATTTAATTTCTGTGAAAAAAGGCCAATCCACAGATTCTAAGAATTGTTTTCTATACTTAACTCTGCAGCAGCTATTTTTAAAAAGTTACCAGTGGAGCTAGGATAAAGTTACAAACCAAAACTGGCACAGATAGAGCACAAGTTGCTAATGAGACTATAAATTCAGGACAGATGCTATTCATTGGTACCCTCTATGGCACACAGACACAGTTATTAGGTAGACAGCGGGTGCTTTACAAACATTGAGTTTTCAAAGACCTATAGGGTCACTATGAGTCAGAATCGACTTGATGGCAATGGAATTATTCTTGGTATCCATTTTGATATGTAAATGTGTAAAACCCACCAAATACCTGCTGGATTCTAAAAAGCCACATAAGAGGCCTCCAAGGTACACACTGATGGTCTATTTCCTACTGGAACATTTCGAAAAAAATCTGATCTGATTATCAACTTTCACTCCTCCAAATCCTGTTCTGAACTTGGAGGTGGAAGGAATCAATCTTGGAAATATCCCAAGGGCTCAATCTTGTTAGTCTCAATCAGGAAACTAGTAGATGAGCTGATGGGTTCTTTCATGTCATTTTTTTTGCCTGTGTATTTTCTTCACTGGTCTGGCACTGGATTTTGTAAAACCAAACAAAAACTCGTTCATCAAAAAAATTATGTCACTGAACTGTACATGCAAAAAATGTTGATATGGCAAATGCTTTGTCACAAATATATTTACCACAATAATAATAATAATAAAGTTAATGGCATGAAAGCTAATGGATAGGACAACTAGTATCAGGATTTTTTTTTTTTTACTTTCTGTAAACAATAACAGTATTGTTTGTGCAGAGATTCAACTGGCACTCAACTACTAATTAACAGATGCCTTGTTCAGATGTGTTCTCACTGATAAGATGCTTTCCATTGTAAACAATCCTTTCTCAGGGTCACTCAGGCCTCAGTAAGTGCTTCACAGTTAAGACAAGACTTCCAAGTAAGCATTCAAACAAAGTCTCCCTGGCCCCCTTACACACATGATACAGAAAAGTTTCCTGCACTATGGGGACTGCTGGATTAGATCAGGGGTTCTTAACCATGTCAGTGTCAGGACCTCTTTACACTCTTATCCAAATGAAGATCTCAAAGAGCTTTGGTTTATGTTAATTATGTCCACTGATATTTACCATATGAGACATTAAAACAGAGATTTATAAAACACAAGAACATCACATCCATCAGAGTGGTGATGTCATCACACATCACAGAGCCTCTGGAAAACTCCACTGTACACTGGGAGAGGATGAAAGTGAAAAAAATAACTTATTAGTTTTATCTAGAAAATTGTTTTCCTCTCACAGACCCCCTTGAAAAGGTCTTTGAGAATCATGGGATTACATAATCAAGAATCTTCCCAATGCTATGGTTCTGGGGCAGGGTTTCTTGACCTTGGCACTACTGACATTTTGAGGACAGTTCTTTGTTGTGAGGGCTGTTCTGTGCACAAACTATGTCTAATAGCAGTCCTAGGCTTAACCTACTAAATGCCAGAAGCCATCCCACTCTCTCAGTTATGACAACCAAAATGCCTCCCCACCCAAAAAAAAAAATTCACTGCTACCGAGTTGGATCTGACTCATAGCGACCCCTCCTTGGGTGTCCAAGGTGGTATCACTATGGAAGTAGATTGCCCAACCTTCCTTCCGAGGAGTGGCTGGTGGGTTTGAACCACCAGCCTTCTGGTTAGCAGCAGTCAAATGTCTTAGGCACTATGCCACCAGAGCTCCCAGATGTTGCCAAATGTCCCCTGGCAGAGAACTGCTGTTCCAGGATGTTGCTTTGATCTTACTGAAGTGTGACTTACAGAATGTATACCTCTCACTGCCTTCTCAGATCTCACATCTCCCTATTTCTTCCCCACCCCCAGCAGAGTCTGTTCCTTCTGCTCTTTATTTCACAAATAGCAGGAATCAGTGGGTGGCAACAAGCATGGGATGATTAGGTCAAGAAGATGTTCTGGTCAAAGTTCACTTTTCAGGCCTTAGAGCTACTAGGTCATCACTTAGGGGCACAGCAAAATGTCTCAACAGTCATCCAGTCATTCTGAGGAGCTGGTAACACCCCAGTCCTTAGAAAGTTACCTACCCACTCCTCTTCCCCTCAAAAAAACAAAAGAGTAATAGGCTATTTGGTGAAAAGAAAAAAGAGACTGAAGGCAAAACCACAGATACAGCACCCCCAAAACCTCCTATTTGGGAGGTCCTCCCTAAATGAAGCATCTGGGAATTTCTTTGCCAGAGTCTGGCTTGGAAGAAGGAGCAAAACTGATAGACAAACGACATTCTCAACACATCCAAGTGCAATAGTCACTTCCCACCAAAGTCCCCACTTCTTGCTTTAGTCTCCTAAAGTTGGGTTCAAGTTTTCTTGCCTCGAAATTGCCCAAACCACCCTAAGTCCCTTCACCCTCCAAACCGTGACCACCAAACTTAGGTCTAGCACCAATTCTCAGTACTGTAATCACTCTTCCTCCACAGCCTCAAATTCTACCTACAAATCAAACACCCTTCACTACTCCTCAGACTGAATCCTCCTTGCTGTCACCTACCCACGCTTTTTCCCCAAACTTCTCCACGGAGGCACAGTCTCTTCCCTCCCCAATTTTCTCACTCACCCCATAGTTTTCCCACCATCTCCCAAACTCTCCCCTCCGTGTTCCTGTAAAACCAGGATTCTCCTCACGAAATTGTCACTGCCACCCCTTAACCTGCACGAACCGCCCTTCTACATGCACCACTTAGTATCTTCCCAAGTTACTCCTACCCTGACCTCCTAATCTGTTAGGTTAATACGCTCTCCTATTGTCTTTCTTTCTTTTAGTACTAGTCAAATCTCCATTCCTCACACTTCTCTACCCGCTGCCTCGGCGTCCACCCTCATTACAGTGCCCCATACTACTCTCCTGGGCCCTTCCTTCCCCACCATCCGTCGGTCAGGCCTGCTCTAGACCACTGCTCGCCTTCCACGGCCAGCCGCCGCCGCCGCCGCCCAGTGTCAACTAGTGAGCCCCTCAACCCCCTCCCTGACCACCAGTCTCTCAAGTTGCAGCATCTGAAATGACAGCCGGGCCCAGTCAGGGAGCCTAAGACGGTGGGCCCAACTCACCCAGGACGACGCAAAGCAGAACGAACCCCGAACCCGAAACCGGGAGGAGGCGGAGGTCTCGGTACACCATGATCCCGCAAATCAAGAGAAAGTGCCGGAAGCAGCAGTGACAAGAGCAGCAACACCACGGAAGAGGACCGCCAAGCCTGCGTTAAAGCTCCGGCGACCACCGACCACAAGGCTGCCAGCATCAGGAATCGGCGCTTAAGCGTGAGTCATAAGACTCGGGGCGGGGCTATTTAATGCGTTCAGCCAATCCCCGCGCTTGAAAGCGGCGAGAGGGGTGGTGATGTAGGGGCGTGGGGGGGCGGAGCGACCACGCCCTGGCTTTTTGGTTTACAACCAAACGTCTCCTAAAATATATACGCGGACGGCCTTTTCTAAAATGATAGTGAGAAAATGAACCTTTAAATTTGTTTTTGTTTTTGTTTTTTTGAGGGAAGGGGGCGGTGTAGATAGGAGAGATTATTTCAGTTCTGGCCCCTTGAGAAAGAAGAGAATAATTTTGCTGAAGTGAAAAAAAAAAAAAAAAAAACCGCTTGCTAGGCATCTGAGTCCAATACCCAAAAAACAAACTCACTGCCCTGGAGTCAAATCTAACTCATAGCGACCCCTCCTGGGTTTCTGAGGCAGTATCACTACGGAAGTAGATTGCCCTCAGCCTAATACATACAAAAATAATAGTGTGCCCATTAACAGAGGAATGGATCAACAAACTCTGGTACATACACACAATGGAATAGTACACAACATTAAAGAACGTGGATGAGCTTAGAACCCATTATGCTAAATGAAATTAGTCAATCACAAAAGGACAAATATTGTATGAGACCACTACTGTAAAAAGTCAAGAAAAGGATTTCACAATAAAAGATATATTCTTTGATGGTAATCAGGGGTGGATAGGGAAGAGAGTAAACCACTAACTCACTAATAGACAAATATACTTGGGTGAAATGAAATAAAAAACCAAAGAAAGGATTAGTAATCTTATTGTTGTTGTTGTTAGGTGCTGTGGAGTAGTCTCTGACTCATAGCGACCCTATGCACAGCAGAATGAAACACTGCCCAGCCCCGTACCAGCCCCAAGACCCTTGCTACACTGGAGCCCATTGCACAGCCACTGTGTCGATCCAACTCGTTGAAGGCCTTCCCCTCTTTCGTCGACCCTCCACCCTACCAAGTATGACATGCACTTCCTCCAGGACAGATTTGTTAGTTCTTTTAGCAGTCCATGCTACTTTCAGCATTCTTTGCCAGCACAACAACTCAAAAGCATCAACCCTTCTTCGGTCTTCTTTACTCATTGTCCAGCTCTCACATTGTGGTAGTTATGTTTGTGTGTCAACTTGGCCGGGCCTGGTTGAGTGGCTGGGCAGCTGGTTGTAGTTATTCACCATGATGAGACTGGCAATCAACTCCATGGTGGTATCTACCACAAGCAGCTGAGTAGCTGCTTTGGGATGTGGGCTGCTTCCTGTATATAAGGAGAAGCTTTGGGAATGGTCTCTAGCTTATGGCACACTTGGACCTGGCATGTAGCCACGTCGTTGTTCAGCAGCCTGCCATGCTCTGCTGACCTTGGGACTTACAATGGAGTTAAATTAATGGCCTGCTGTGTGGTTTGGTAACATTGGAACTGTGCCTATTTATTTGCCGACCTTGGGCTTGTTAGCCTCAGCAGCCAGTAACTGCCTGAATGAAAAGAGGCCTCTAGCTTCAGTGGGCTGGGAGCAAGAGGCAAAGCTGAAGCCCAAGGTAGAGGGGCTTTCACCCAGTCCGTAGAGCCTGGCACTTTGAACTTGGATACTTAGCCTCCAGATTGTGAGAGAATAAACTCCTATTTGTTAAGGCCAGCCCATTTTTGGTATATTCTTGTCAGAGCCACACTAGGTAACAAGAACACACATGCATATGAGGCGATTGAAAATACCATGGCTTGGGAGAAGGAAGGGCTGCTTATGCACAGGGAGACAGCTCAGGGGGCAGGAGAGTATGGAGGGATGGACACTGGGAAGTGGTAACTATGGGGAGGAAGTGGGAGGGGAGCTGTTGCATTGT